TTTCCTCCTATAAGGTAGAATGATCAAACCAACTCAGACAGCAGAAGCAACTCTCCCCACTTGCCATTCTTTTTTTACCCTCTAGCAATTTCCCGTTCTTGAAAGACATAATTGTATGGGCAATATGGCCTGTCTTGCACCCCTAAACGAGTCTGGCCCACACCCATTACTGAAATAAAATTATACTGTTAGCTTGATTATGTCACATGGAAAATTCTCATTGTCGGCAATGTTACGTTTTCTAACAATTTTCTCTGAAAAATGTTGAATCAGAAAACAGTGAGGCATCCATGGCACTATAATCTGGAACTGAATCTATTACTTAAGAAGAATACTATATTGGCTTTAAGCATAGCCCTCTTGCAATTCATGTCATGGGATGAAGGCTACTCTTTCCAGTAAGTAAACATGCAGCAAACCTCATGTTCAGAAAGTAAAGAAAATCAATTAAGCTTTCCTATCAATTATGTATTCAAGGCAACAAACCAAACTAATATAGTATTTGCTTATTTTGCTCTGAATTAATAATAACTCCAGATGTTGTGGAGTTATCTTGAAAATAAAAAAGGTTGATGCATCTTTGATGTGAAGCAATGAACAGAGTTACGCAATTGTTTCTTTAGATCAGTGGTCCCCAACCTTTTTAACTCCATCTATTATATTGATTAGATTTTACATTATACCCCCAAGAACTTGTACTATATCACGCCTCATTACTATGGCCACCAAGTTTCTTCTGAGCCAATCATTCCCAGAGCAAAACAGTTTTTATTATCTGACTGAAAATGATGAATTCCAGTCAAACTTCAGTTTACTTGCACTAAATATTGTGGATGTTTATACATTCAATATCTTGTTCTACAATGGCAAGCTTTTAATTCATATCCCCAACATTTCAAGTTCTATTCATCCACATCTGTGCACATCAGCAGCTGAATGTCCCTCTATCTTTAATCCATTGGCTTCATTAAGAAAAGACTACTTGAACTAACCTCTTCCACATTAGGTAATGTAATGCTTTCCAACCTAGGAGTCTCATTTTCCAGCACTATCACTTATTTCATTTTGGAATGTGTTATCATCATTGGGTTTTAAAATATAAAGCAGTCAGAAGTGATTTATCATTGCTTCTTCAGCACAGTGCTATCAAGAGTGAGCTTGACTGTCACTGCCTTTGTCTATAAAAGGTTCTCCACCAGTGTCAGCTTCTAGTACTGGTGTGCAGTAATCCGAACTTTTAGAATTTCTCTGCCCAGCTTGTTGTGGAGAGGGAATATGTATAATTAAATTGTAAATCATGCAGAGAGTGTTTTTAAGCAGTATGGAGCAGTATAGAACCAGCACACTTTGCTTTGGGGGGTTGGAAATATATGTGAAAGCACTTAATAAATTTGTCATTCATACAGTACAACACAATAGAATACAATAAAAATCTGAGATAGGTCTATGAACCTGAGCTAGATTTCTGAATTAGTTTATCATAGTCTGTATCTTGGTATTGAAGCACTTCAAGCATTTAACAGATTAACTTCAGTGTTAGTTTTCATGGATCAAAATCTACTTCATGAGGTGCATATATTTATTCCATGGTGCTAAGATTCATGTCCAAGTTATGATGAGACAGACCAAGCACAACTACTTCTTTTAAAATTCTAAAGAAATACTGTAGCGTTCTCCATTTATTAGATCTATGGTTCTTGTTGTATTATGTAATGGTTTATGAACATGTTGCTGAGAGGCGCAGCCAAGAGAGATGCTATAAGAGGTGGAGTCAGAAGTTTTTAAGTCAGATAGAGTCAGTGAGAGAAATATAAGAGTCAGGCAGGAGAGAAAAGCTAGACAGAGTACTAGAGTGTGTAGTTTGGGAAATTTAGATGTGATTAGCTACTGAGGATAATTTTGAATCTCTGTAATCAATAAACCAAAGTTTTATTTAAATGAACTTGAAGTGTGGACCTCAATCTTTCTGAAGTAAATTGTGATTTAGAGATCACCTGGTGGCAGCAAGTGTAAAAGAAGAGAGTGTTTGCCTTTGTGTGCTCTGAGGCTTGAAGGTCAAGCAAGGGGCACGAGGGTGGACACTACAAATACATTCAAATCTACACACTCACAGTAATTATTCCAAAAAGTATCCTACAATCCAAAATACTATGTTGGAAATTAACTCTTGAAGTACTTTGTCTAGTTGCCCTTCATTCCTGCTTTTTTTGACCTTCAAATTTTTATTTGTATTAGCAAAATGTATTTTGAATGTAACATAGTATGTTCAAGGCGCCTAATGCTATACAAGGTATATGATGAACAGCCGTTTCAATTGCTCTTCGGAAGCAAAAATTATTTTGTTATTTAAAGTAAAATATTGGTAGCCTCTTCATGTACGGTTGCAACAAATCTTGTTGTCTAATAACAGGCGTGTGCCTCTAGCGTGAAGCAAAAACTATAATGAATAATGATGAAGAACTCAAACCCAGGTCTATAGAACTATAAAGGGTGGTTTAACAGATTATGTCTGTTCTAATCGTTCATTCATATTTTGTGCTTGGTTTTTATCACTGAAAATCAGTTTAGAGAGTGTTTTCCATATTAGTGCCTCCAGTGCAGTATATACGAGTCTTTTTTTTAAAGCATTCCCTTGATTTCCATGACCTTCCTGTAGTTCTGATCACATTTAGTTACACATTCATTTATCCTCCCTATTTTGTTGTGGAATGGTTTCTCAATAAACAATACTGAGGTAAATTAGACCCCTATTCTCTAGGGCATTGGGAAGGTTTCTCAAGTAACATCTGCTTATTGTTATACTGCACAAAACAATCTACATGCTTGAAAGAGAAAGAAATCACAAAAAAGATAATTTTCCAAGCATGGAAATTAATATATCTATTGTGAGACACCCAATTCCTAATGTCTAGAAAGCTAGAAAAAAAATCAGAGACTCACGAAAACACTACTGTGGAGCGTGAGTACAAATCAAATACTGTAATTACCTGAGATAAGGAATTTATGACGAGGTGGAGAAAGTGGGAAAGAATTCCAAGGCTTGCCTAGCCTTGCTACATTGATTATTCAGAGACACAAGAAAATAGGTATAAGGAAAATATGATTTTCTTACCACAACTTTAATACCAAACAAGACATTAAATGGAAACACTTTAACCTCTTTAACTGCATTTACCACAATATGTCACGGCTGCCCAGTGAAATCTAGTTTTGACAATGGAAGAGCCAAAGTGTTTTTTAAAAGATGGTTAGACCTGTTCCTGTAAACTAAATCATGTAGTGGACTTGTAAAAATTGCACATGGTGATAAGAACAAACTAGATTCTTTGCTTGCACTAACAGGGCGGTGTATAAATCAAATAAATAAATAAATCTCCCCCTCAGTATCTTTTAGAGCCCACAGTAGTTCAGATGACAAATGAGAAAGATGTATGAAACCTGGCTTGAGACATCAAGTAATATCATGAATTTAATATTGTAAAGATAGAATTGAGACATTTAGTCTGAGGTGTTTTACCCTGCTCTGATAGCTGGGGCATAATAATTTAAAATGCAATAAAAAATAAAGACATTAAGAAACTATATAAATGTAAATAAAATGTAGAAACACTGAGAAACATTAAAACAGGAAAATAAAGCCACAGATTAAAATAAATAGTATAAGCTGGCACAAGAATGACTTAGAAATAACCGAAGCCTAGATAAATAAAAGTTAACAAATAAAAAGGTCTTACTGTCAAGATAACAGGATGGCAGAAAGACATACTGTACCTGGACACTGAATTTTACAGTTTGGGCACAGCCTCCAGTAGCCATTTCTATATTTTGAGCTGAGAAGAGTCTCTTTGACCTTCCGAAAAGTGCTTGAACTCACCACGGAAAAGGCAGCCCTTTAAGGCTCAGCTCTAGGCCATTTTGGAATGCAAAGAGCCCAAACACCATTTTGAACAAAGACCAGAGATAAAACTTGACACTGGTGCCACAGTAAACACCTGACATTGTTTGACTTGCAATCAGGCCCTCTAAGAGTTCAGAGGAGGCCTGGGCTGTTTCACATTGTGAGGCCTTCTTGCTGTTTTGGAAGAGGGCTTTAAAAATACAGTACTTTAATGTAAAGAAGATCATTTAAAAAAAAAAACTGGTAGAATGCATGACAGCATGATATTACTTAGCTTTATCTTTAGGCTGAGGTGAGGCCACCCTGTGAGGTCAGGCACAGACCAAAGGGCCCTTCTGGGCTCTTGTCATTTACTTAACTCTCTGCATGCAGTACCCCACTTTTGTGAATCTCCCAGTGGTGGACAATAATCCCCAGTAATGTCAAAGACTTCCGTTTAGGACCACCTAGCTAAAACGGACAGGCAGCAATGAAAGAATACTGTATGTGGGTTGGCACCATGTCAGCTGACTCAAATCTGCAGTTGTGTAGGTTTTCCTTCCCCTCTCACTATGCGTGCAAAAAAGAAAAGTATGATGCACCGATAATTAAATACATGAAAATTAATTCATCACTTTTCCCCTTTAAGTTTGTTTCAGTTAGTATTCCTCCTGCATTTTTATGACATCAAATCATTTTCAGGAATGAATTCCTGTGTTTTTAACACTGTGCCTGAGGATCATAAGAGTAGTGTTTTGTTACTAGATGGGTGAAGTGAAGAATCTTGCCCATGAGTGAGAGTGGGCGGCATATAAATTAAATAAATAAATAAATAAATAAATGGACAAGAGTTCAGACAGATTACTTTGTGACCATTTTTTCCCTAGAAGTCAGCATGATGTTGGCTTGGGGAGGCTGTAAACAGACAGAACAAGTTTGAGTCTTCCCCACTAGCAATTGGTTCAACTGTAAAGCAGCTCATATTACAAGGAAAACAAGTATGTTTTCTACTTAGATAGAGCCATAATCTGGATGGCCTTTAGAAATGCATTCATGCAATCACTGTACAGTACATTAAACTTTGTTCTACCTTCTCCTTTCGGTCTCTTGTTTTTTTTCCTAGGTGATCCCAATGTTTGTTCCATCTCAGATCCTGGGTTTATTATTTACTCCTCTGTGGTATCCTTTTATCTTCCATTTGTGGTGACCCTGCTGCTCTATATCCGAATTTATATCGTCCTGAGGCAAAGACTGAGGAAGCAAATCCTCACCAGACAAGGCTGCCACTGTGTCAAAGCCTGTAACAAACAGAAAGTATGGCCTCTTTTACATTGACTAGATCTTTTGTGCCCCATCTCTCCATTCTAGCAACCGTCTTAGATATATCTGCCTGTCTAGCTCCTATATATCCTATGCCAATTTTACACAACACCTGCGCCTTACTGCATTACTTTCACCATATGCAACATCTCCTAGCATACAGTATATCAGCATGCATTTTCTTCCCATTTGCTCCTACATAGTCAACCTACTACTACACAGTCAGCCTTTGTTTAATCTTCAGACTAAGGGACAAGCTAGACAATACAGGGAACACACTCATAGAACTTCCTTAAGTGTTGAAAGATGAATATTCGTTTATACCATAAGTCTTTCACAAATCCCATGTCTTGCAAATCAGCTGTCTGTGTTTTGTGACAGGTCAAGATATTACCACAGGCTTCATTTGCAAGAGTTATTGCTTGGGGATAAATTGAATGAATTGTGTTACTGGAAAATTAATGTACTATGAACATTGAACAATCATGTCACCTGAAAATTTGATGGTCATCTTCTCTACTTGTTCATCAAAGTAATTTATAAAGTTGTTGAAGAACAATGGGCCCAGGACAGAACTGCTTATCATTTACTGTGTCTGAGTAGTTTGTAGAGCTTTCTCTTACATTGCAGATGGATAGTATTTTTCAAAGACCTGAAGATAGTGTGGTCAATGAAAAGACCTGGAGATATATGTCATAGTCTTCTAAAATAAAATTTAAAAAGCAGTTGGAGGAGGCTGTAGACCACAAATAGTCTTCATTCATGCTTTTGCAGTAATGGGGAAAAGATAAAGGTGCCTCTAATTAGATTGCCTCTACATGCTTTTGAAATGCCTTAATATCTGCAACAGCAGCTAAACATGTTGAGGAGAGATAAAAGTAGTTGGAGTTTATGTCTAAATTATGGTTCTATTATTCTATTTCCAGCTCTAAAAACAACAATGATTATTTGCTTCCAACCTTATAGGAATTTCCTACTTCAGCAGGTATAAACAGTAGCAAAACAAATTACTTACTTTTGAACCACCAATCTTATTTGTCCCTTTTGGGACAGGTAATTTGTTTAGCATTTGTTAACTAAAGCCCTAACTGATAAAATATGGAAAATATCTGTTGGGAACAAACAATATCAGTTAGCACTTGAGAGTCAAGCTACCTCAAGCGATAGATTCTGTGATAGGTGGCAGATATATCACTACAGCGGTTAACTTTTGTTACGAATAAAATAATTCTATGTGTTAATGTCATTGGAGATATACTTGTTTTCCAGAAATGTTTAGAAAGAACAGATTTGCACCGGGGGGCCTTCAGATGCCTCTTTATGCTGCTTTCAATGCAAGTGTTCAGACCTGAGGATGCAGCTGAAAAGAAGCCCCTGACACCCTCTGAACTGCAGCAGGATTGCAGTTTCTGCCATGAATCTTCTTTCTCAAGTGCATGAGATAAAGAGGCTGTTGACCTAAAGGTGAGGAGAAAAACCAAGGAACAAAACATAGAAGTGCACAGACTCAACAATGGCAAAACAGTAACCTCCTTGAAACTGTTATCTCAGCAGTATCGAACAATACAGGTCAAAGAGAGGAAGGCCACCCAAATGGTAGCTATTGTCCTTGGTAAGTAGAGGCATATGGATTGTTTTCAACGATGATTCTTCACCAGAATGAGAACCAGACTAAATACTATATAGAAGATCTCAATACCTTTTGTTTGCTTTAATGAAAAGGAGCCATAGCAGGTTAAGAATCTGACTGAAAGTATCACAGGAAGGAAGTCCTTTGGCTTTTTTCTCTCTTTGAAATCCTTACCATGGCTCTTTTTACATCTGTTGGGAAAAATATATTAACACATGTAACATTCTTCTGCACATAATAAGGAACATTAAGGCAGATATTTTGAGCATGCAGTTTGCATGCACAATATTGTTGCATTACATTTTCTAGTTTGAATGTGCATCAACTAAAATTTAAATATTGTTAAAAGGCCCTGTTCTGCTTTCCTTCCTGCTTTAACATATTCACACAAGTGAAGCAGCATTCAGATGAATTGCAGAGGTGCCTTTTGAGTTGTGCAAAGATGTCCACACGGTACCATTACTGTGGCTGATTTATTCAGCTAGAATTTTCAACGGTGTGGGTGGACTGGGTTCTGCTGCTGTTTTATGCAAGGAGAGATTTCTGTCCAGAATTAAGAATACCTGTGTATAAGTGGTGGTAATTTCACATTTTTTAAAAAAATTTAGGAACTTTCATGGTCTGCTGGCTGCCATCCTTCTTGACCCACATACTAAAGACCCACTGCCAAGGTTGTCATGTGCTCCCAAAGCTGTACAGTGCTACCACCTGGCTTGGATATGTCAGCAGTGCCCTCAACCCTGTGATGTACACCACTTTCAACAAAGAGTTCCGTAAAGCTTTCCTGAAGATCTTGTACTGCTGAGAATGCAGAAAGTGACATGGGGTTACATACGATGGGGATGCAGCACGTGAGGAGTAGCTGAGATGGTTTTGTATATACTACTACTAATAATGTGTTATCAAGTCAGTTCTGACTCCATATACCAGATGTTTTTTGCACCAGTGAGAATAAACTTTGGATAGACCTTCCTGTGGATTTAACTCTGCAAATTATTGGGATACATTAATACCAGGATTCATCTGTTCTGAATCCTTCAAATAAACTGAAGCTTAGCATCCCTTACTGTGGCGCCCACCCTCGTGCCCCTTTGCTTGAATTTAAAGCCTCAGAGCACACGAAGGCAAACACTCTTTTCTTTTACACTTGCTGCCACCAAGTGATCTCTAAATCACCATTACTTCAGAAGGATTCAGGTCCACACTTCAATTTCTTTAAAATAAAACTTTGGTTTATTGATTACAGCGATTCATAAATATCTTCAGCAGCTAATCACATCTAAATTTCCCAAACTACACACTCTATTACAGTGGTGCCTCGCTTAACGATGATAATTCGTTCCAGGAAAATCGCCGTTAAGCAATAACATCGTAAAGCGAAATAAAAAAACCCATTGAAACACATTGAAACCTGTTCAATGCGTTCCAAAGGGGTAAAAACTCACTGTCCAGCGAAGATCCTTCATATGGCGACCATTTTCACTGCCTGTATAGCGAGGAATCCATCCCTAAACACAGCGGGGAGCCATTTTAATTATCTGGTGGCCATTTTGAAACCGCCGATCAGCTGGTAGAAAAACATCGTTTTGTGAAGAATCGGTTCCCAAAGCAGGGAACTGATCATCGCAAAGCAAAATTCCCCCATTTAGACCATCGTTTTGTGATGGCAATTGCGATCGCAAAAAGATCGTAGTTAAGCGGATTCATCATAATGCAGAGCAATCGTAAAGCGAGGCACTTCTGTACTCTGTCTGGCTTTTCTCTCCTGCCTGGCTCTTACATTTCTCTAACTGACTCTGACTTAATCTCCCCCTGACTCTCTGACTCCGCCTCTTATAGCATCTCTCTTGACACCACCTCTCAGCAACATGAATATTCATAAACCATTACATAATACAACAAGAACCATAGATCTAATAAATGGAGAACGCTACACTTACTGACAGACATAATGAATTAAATCCGGGTATACTTAGGCCCAAACTCTAGGCTAGAGATAACCCATCATTAATGCTGAAATCATGTTAGTGTTCAAAAACACTGCAGTCCCTTTTGCCTGCAGAAAAAAACCCAGGAGGAAAAAAACTGGAATATAGTTCTAAACCATTCCCATCAAAATTATATACATGGCACGAATGCCCCAGCCTTCTTGTGGGAAGGCCAGATGATTAGATCAATTTTTTAAAATGAAACCTCCTGCTGCTGATCTTTGCCAGGCCTTTTTGTGCTGTCTTCATTTTCTGAGCCAAAATCACTGTCTAATAGTCCCCTAAAATCCAGGATTTAGTCAGAAAATCCCATTAGTCTATGTTGTTCTCCTGAATTTGGGGTTTCTGGTCTATGACCTCTGTTAGCCTGTTCTCTCTTCTGATTCTTGACCATTAATTGCCTCACATGGTTCCAGATGGAGTTTCAACGCTCCCCAGCTTCAAGACAATCTATCAAGACTAAGGAGAGGTAATCTTTGTCACCACAATCTATCTTCTGCTAGTGTCTTCCCCACATATTGGTGTCTCTCCAATTATACTCACCTTTTATTTCTGTGTGTGTGGTTTAGGAAAATATCCTTCCTTGCTTTAATCCTCTCATCCATATAGCACCTCTGCAAATAATCTGCTCAGGCACTGCAGAACTTTGCAGAGCAGCCTGTGTCTCAGCTATGCGAGTTTGCTCCCTTTGAGTCTGAATTTCCCCTGTTACTTACATACTTTATTGTGAATCTGTGCTAGATATATTATAATCGTTTTGTTTTCAATAAAATTCCCCTTATGAATAGGTCTGTGTGAGTGTGATATACTCAGTCTAATCTGTGTCAAGACACTATCGCCATAGTACAAAAATCCCTTATGGGTGTGTCTCCAAATGTGTGAGTTAATGCATGTGCTCTGAGAGCATGCCTGATAACACTTCTGCTCAATGCAATAATCCAAGTTAGAGTATATTTTTTATGTAAATACAGCTTCTTGGCTATTGGGGCATGGGCATGCTCAATGGCTAGAGGGGTAGCTGTATTAGTGTACCACAACAAAAATAATGAAGAATCTTGTGGGAGCTTAAAGACAAGTACGTTTTATTTGGATGCATGTGAAGAATTAGCACAAAGGCTTATACCAAATAATTTTGATAGTTTTTAAGCTTTTATTCTTTAAAATCTACAGTATGGCTTGCACATTAAAAGTACATCTGACTCATTTCTGTCCCTGCCAGTATCATCAGATAAGATCTTTCTATACCTTGACCTTTGAAGTATTACAATATACTGTAAAATATGAATTAGGCGTTGATATATCCACTTTATATCTATTGACCCTACTAAATCCAAAGGATGAAATCCTGCTGTGGGTACATAAATAGCATAACTGCTAGATGTGCAGTTATTTAAAAAATGTAACTTTTAGATATGAATTACTGTAAGTTAAGAAATCTCTATAGCTATTATCTCTTGCATGGCACGGTATACAGAGACAATGTCTATGGAGATTTCTTAACTTACAGTAATTTTAAAAGTTACATTTTTAAAATAACTGCACAACAAGCTTTCAGCCAATATGTAACTATTTGTTGTGTCCATTTAGCAGGTTACATTAGTCCCAAGTGTCTTCTCTAGAGGAGACCAATATGGAGCTTGGCCCCATTGGCTGTTCATCCTAAAATTATGTCAAAATATTTCACAATGTAACATCTGGTATAATGCTGCAAGAGCTCTTGTTCAGGCACTTTGTTGACACCTGAGATCAAAACTGACTGCATCGCTAGACAGATGTGTTTATATACTTGCTAGTCAAACCTGTCAATCCAGAGACAGAGGGGGCTGTTAAAGTGGAATCAAACAGCTACTGTATAACTCTGAAGCAATCTGTAGCACAAATTAGTCCTGAACAGGGAACACAGGGCAGGTAATGTGGCAGTTATAGATTTGGCCTCCCTCCAACAGTATTTTTGCCTTTTCTTTCCTCCTCCCCGCTTTACTTTTGCCAACAGGTGTTGAAGATATTTTAGGCTTTAGAAACAGATAAGTTAGTGGAAATTCCATGTCAAGAGCTTGTATTTCCCCAGCTCAACGGGGAGCTTTTAGTCAGCCTTAAGATTCTGAGACAGCTAGATATACAACCCCTTCGCTTACCTTGAGGCTCAGAGGATTGTGGACTCTCCTGTTAGGAGGTTTTCAATCAGAGGTTAGATGACTATCTGTCAGGAATTATTTATCTGCAGATTTCCTGCATTGGCAGGGAGCTGGCCTCCTAACTTAGCATAAAACAGCATTTATTTGTTTGCTTCTTTAAAATATTTTTACCCCACCTTTCTCCTTATAAATTATGCAGGGCAGCTTGCATCAGTAAGAGACAGTATTTAAAAGCTAAAACCATAAGTATACAAATACTTTAAAAAGAAAGAAATACAACACTAAAACAGTAAACAAAATCAACTACAAAATATTCAAGGCAACAAGGCACAACAATTTTTAAAAATTCTGTCAGAAAGCCAGTCACTAATGGAAAGCTTGTGTGAAGAGAAAGGTCTTTATTTGCTTGCAGCAAAGGATAGCAAAGTGGGCTAACCTGGCCTCCACTGGGAGGGAGTTCCATAGTTTGGGAGCAGTGACAGAAAGGCCTTCTCCTGTATCCCCACCAAACACACCTGTGAAGATGGTGGGACTGAGAGAAAGGTCTTCTGTGATTATCTTAATACCCAGGCCGGTTCATGAAGGGAGATGCAGTCCTTAAGATAACTTGGATTCAAGCCATTTCGGTTTTTATCGGTTAAGACCAGTGCTTTGAATTGTGCCTGGAAACAGATGGGCAGCCAGTGGAGCTGCTGTAACAGTGAGGGTTATATGAACCCTGTAACCAGCCCCAGTTAATCCAGTATGAAGTTGGGAATGTGCATTGTGGGTTCTCTTCCAGCTCTACAGTTCTATGATTCTATGAGACATTGTTTCTATTCTTGTCATATGCCATCAAGTCAGTGACCCTCACAGGGCTTTCAAGAGAAGTAAAATATCTAAGGAGTGGCTTTTCCAATTCTCCAGTAAGTTTCCATGGCTCAGCAGGGATTCAAATCCAGGCCTCCTGAGTCATAGTACATTATTCACTATACCAGCAGTTTCCAACCTTTGGTACCTCATTAGCTATGCTGGAAAGGGTTTCTGGGAGTTGCAGTTCAAGACACCTCGGTTACCCAAGGTTAGGAACCACTACACAACACCATACTTGGCATCTATGAGACATATCTCTATATAACACATAAGTACTTTCAGAAAGAGGTGTTGCTAGATCACTAACTATACATTATGAAGTATAAAGTTTTTGTTGTCGCAATGGTAATTGTACAAACAAGAAGCATAACATGTGAAGATATCTTACAGACAATGTTGAGTACATTTTTAAAGCGTATGGTAACTGTAATCTGGAACAATTTAGTTTTATGTGAACAGCTGCTTGGTGTGGTTTAGTTACAATGGGTATGGCTCTTATTTGCTGCATGTGTGCAAGAATGGCTTTACCATTACGTAAAATGAGGTGGCTGCCTCAGGTGGCAGATACCAGTGGTGAGGATAAAAGGTCAAAAACAGCCTGCACTGTATATGTCAGAGGATCTGTCCTCCTAGGTTTAGAGCAGTGGTTCTTAACCTTTGTTACTCGGATGCTTTTGAACTGCAACTCCCAGGAACCCCAGTCAGGACAACTGGTGGTGAAGGCTTCTGGGAGTTGCAGTCCAAAACTCCTGAGTAACCCAAGGTTAAGAACCAGTGGTTTAGAGAACGGGTGGGGGTCACAGAGGCTAAATTTCAGTTTTGAGACCAGT